TCCCTCCTGGCAGGGTGTGACCGTTTCCCGCACCCGAGCTTCGGCGGGAGCGAAGCTGGGATGACCCAAGGTGAGCCAGTTGAGCGCAACGACAGCATGCTGCGACAACGTGCGGGCGGCGCGCCTCACACGCCAGCGCTCCCGCGCGCGACCCGTAAGGTGACCAGGTGGCGGCGGAAGAGGCGGCGAGGGAGGGCACGGCCAAGGATCGCGGGGAGCCGACCCCGACAAGTACGAGTCGTCCCATTCCAGCGCGCAGAAAGATGTGCGGGTAAAAGCGGCAAGGGAGCATCGAGTCCCCATCCCGACCTGGGCAAGAGCAGCGGCCCAGTGGGTGACGTCGATGCTGGCGCCTGGAAACAGGCGCAGCAAGGCGGGCAGATCGGCCACGAAAGGCGCAGACCTGCCAGTGCCAGTGCTGGCACGGGATGTGCTGGGAAAAGGGCAAGGCGCGAAGGGCGCAGGGCGCGCCCCGACGCCCACGCTGGGACCAGGATGGCCAGGAGGAGCGGGGGAAGCGCCTGGGAGCGAGCGAGAATCACCATGGCGGCACGCACGGGGCCCAGCGGCGCCGAAACAGCCGCGCTGCACCTGCGCATCCCTACCATCGCGACCTCGCTCGGTCCAGAAGCGGCGGGCGGCGGCCGCGGGATGAGACCTCCCCGGCGGCGGCGGCCGAGCACATCCAGCACCCCGTTCGACCCGCCCGACGTGGGCGGCTCCAACAGATTGGGGGTAAGAGGCACCTTGGTCGGCGGGGCCGGCTCGGGGCTGCCCGGAGCCCTCTTGGTCCATGGCAGGGCCACCGACAGCTTGGAGCCGAGGAGGCTCCTCGGGGGCTCCGCCTTGGTAGCCGCTGGCCTGGGCGGCGCGTGCACCCCCCTCCGCGGTGACCCCGTCGGCGGCACGAACCCCTTCCTGCGGGGCCGCACCAGCATCGCCGGCAGAGCACATGCCTACCGACGGGGCCACCGCAGCTTCGGCTGAAGCTGAAAACCGTGGCGGGGCTCCAGCCGCAGGAGGCACGGCAACGGGCGGTGCACTTCCGAAGCGCAACATTGCTGCCGCTTCCTCGCGCACGCTCCGATTGAAGCGCGAGCGGCGGCTCCCTTGGACAGGGGCCCCAGAAGCGGCCTCTGAAGCACCAGAAAGGGCGTCCGTAGACGAGGCAGCTGCACCAGCATGGGCTGGAGCGTGAGCGGCACGGCAGCTACCATCGACGGCCCGACGACCCCGCCGTCCTCCACGCCGAGTGCGGACCCGACGAACTCGTCGGAGCCTGAAGGCGGGGAGTGCGGCAGCGCTGTTGGTGGAGGCCGAGCGGCGTCGGGGCCGCGCTGGAGTGGCAGTGACTGCGGCGACGCCTTCATCCGAGGAGCCCGCGGCGAAAGCGGCCCCTCGGACAGAGCGGAACGCAGGGACCGCATCCCGGGGCGTCGCGGCCGCCGCGGACGAGCCCGCTCCTGACGTCCCACCGGCGGCACGAACCCCTCCCTGCGGGGCCGTAACAGCATCGCTGGAGGGGCGCATGCCTACCAGTGGTGACGGAGAAGGGCTCAGACCACGAGGGTCGGCCCGCAGGCGCTCGCGAGCGCGAGCAGGGATCGACGCGGCGAGGCCCTGGATCCGATCGCACGAGAGGCGTCGGGGCCGCGCTGGAGTGGCAACGGCTGCGGCGGCGCATTCGCCCGAGGAGCCCGTGGCGAAAGCGGCCCCTCGGACAGAGCAGAACGCAGGGACCGCATCCCGGGGCGTCGCGGCCGCCGTGGACGAGCCCGCTCCTGACTTCCCACCGGCGGCACGAACCCCTCCCTGCGGGGCCGTAACAGCATCGCTGGAAGGGCGCATGCCTACCAGTGGTGACGGATAAGGCTCAGACCACGAGGGTCGGCCAGCAGGCGCTCGCGAGCGCGAGCAGGGATCGACGCGGCGAGGCCCTGGATCCGATCGCACGAGAGGCGTCGGGGCCGCGCTGGAATGGCTGCGGCTGCGGCGACGCCTTCACCCGAGGAGCCCGCGGCGGAGCCGACGAGGCCTGGAGTTGACTCCGCTGCTTGAGTGCCCGCTGCGTTACAAGTGCAAGCGCCCCGAGGCGTAGGGATCGCAGCTTCGGTCGAGGCTGTGCGGACGGGCGTTCCTGGCGCGTCCACCACGCTACCGATGGCAGCGGGCGCCCTCGCAGTGGTGGGACTGATCGCAAGCGAAACTGCGCGCACCGCAGAGGGTCCCCCGAACATCGCCGGGGGCCCGCCATTGGCGAGTCTGGGAGCAGCATCCGGGTCCGAAGTGCTCGAGGCGACCCCCCGCCCACCGACCCCCGGCGTGGCGGCGAGGGGGGGCGTCAAGGATGACTCGCGAGCAACCGCTGCGCGGGCCGCCCAGGATGTACTGGCGGTGGCGCCTGGCTCCAATGCAACCGCCACATCGTGGCGCGGCGGGCCGATCGGGGGCGTGGGTGGGCCCCCGCTTAGCCCGAGCGACTGCGAAATGTCAAGGAAGCTTGAACGGGCGGCACCGAGCGCAGGAGGTTGCGCCGGAGGCGGGGGCGGGGTCCGCAAGAACGGGATCACGGTTCGCCCCGAATCGGAGGCCCACAGGTGGGTCCCGGCACTAAGCATGGGGACCCCCACCTCGACAACGGTCGAGCAGGGATGACGCGACGGCGGCATCCGCACGCCCGCCTCCAAACCGGTGAGGTCCAGAGGCGGACCCGCACACCAGGCCTCGGGACCCGACAGCGCCTCCAGCCCAGGTGGTGGGCGGTGACACCGAGCCGTCGAGGTACCACCTGGCGTAGCGACCAGGTGAATATTGCTGCCAAGCGCCGGAGTCCCAACCAGCGCAGCGGTCGCGCAGACGTGCGTCGACGGCGGCGCCACGGCGCTGGACTCCAGGCTGGTGAGGCCCAGAGGAGGCTGAATGGGTGACAGTGGGTGCTCCAACCCTTCAGGTGCGCTCGCCAGCAAGGCGACCGGCTCGAACGACGAAGGCAAGACCGCCGCATGGGCACCTGCGATCTGATGGGCCGCGTTAGACGGCCTCCGTGTGTCCGCTGCACACGCGGGGCCCCGGGTGAGCCGCGGCGCTGCGAGGTAGGGAGGGGAAGGGGCGAGGAGGTGAAGGTTAGCAGGATTCCCCTCATCCGTCTCCCCCACCCTTCTTGCGGTTACCTTCGCGCGCCGCGCCTCTACGTCTTCGATCCGACCGGCACGGAGCGGCGGGCGCTGAGGGTTGCGCGGCGGCTGACGTCTGGCACGGGCCGGCGGGCACTGAGGGTTGCGCGGTGGCTGGCGTCCACTGGCGAGTGCGGGCTGAGGCGGTGCAACTCGCGAGGCACCCGAATCTAATGCGTCCTCCTCCTCGTCCTCCTCCCTGCCCGCACCCCCCGTATACGGAGAAGAAAGGGGGAGGGGAAAGGAGAGGAGTGTTTGGAGGAGCTCAGCCGCTGGCGCCGTAGGGCACGACGCCATGACGACAGGCGCCTAAGGCTAGGCCGCCTGGTGGGCGCCCCCCCCAGCAGGGAAAGGGGCCCGCTAGGGAAACTGGCGGGAGCCAGTGCAAAGTACCGCGGGCGCACGCTGCCAGGGAGCAGCGGCGCCCGAGCGGAAAGGGTGAACCTTTTCCACCGCCGACAGCCGCGGGAGGCGGTCGGCCGCACCCCGCGCGAGCTCGGTCCGGCGGGGCAAAGGTGCGAGCCCCGCCCAGTCCGAGCGCGCAGGAAGCGCCGGGACAACCGCCTTTGGCGGCGTCCCGCGTGTAGCCCAAGAGGAAGAACACCGCCACGTAGAAGTCGAAGAGACCTGCGCGGCGGTGGCGGGCGCGGGCCCCTCGGCGCCTCGGCCGCGCGCGCGGCGGGGCGGGGAGGGGGGCGAGCGCCGCAAGCTTAGGGCCGAGAAGCTGCAGACGACTGCAATCAGCGGGCGCGATGGGGATAAGAAGGAGCATGATCATCATCATCATCATCATCATCATCATCATCATCATCAGAATCAGCATCATCACCATCACCACAAACAAAAGCAACTGTATCATCATCAACACAATCACCATCAACAACAATAGCATCACCATCATCAACATTAAGACTTTCATCAACAACCTAATCATGACCATGATCATCATCACCACCATCATCATCATCACAACCACCACCATCATCACCATCATCAGCAGCCACATCACCATCACCATCAACATCACCATCACCATCATCATCACCATCACCATCATCATCAATCTCCTCCTGTCGTCAGAATCATGTTCGCCCTCCGCTCAACTAAAACAACGAAAGTGAAGATATACCTCGGAATCCCTACAAAGCCACGAGATGGTTCGCCAAACAAAAACCACTAGCTTGCTCAAATGTGGTTTCCCGGGGCGGCTGCTGGGAGCTTGGTGGTATCCGCTATCGGACTTGCCCTGCGGTGAAGAAGGTGAAGATGAGAAATCCTCATAACGGGAAGTAGCACATCATTACGTCAAGAGATTTTGTTTGATCTGTAAAGCCATAACGTGCCCTCGCTTCATCGGCGGATTAACCCCGGGCGGAAAAGACAAGCAATGCATGGCGCCGAACCGGAGCGCCTGGACACAGGTGCGGCACTCACCAGCCGAGGCTGGACCTTCATCAGCGGGTCGTCAGAGGGCAAGGAGTACGAGCAACATGGCGGGAATGGCTCGCTTCCAAGTCGTCTTGAAGACCCCGAAGGTCAAAACCAGTCCTATATGGCCAAATTTCTGCCATGATGGCGTGGGACCTCAGCTTCTGTCACCGTGCGAGCTGTTTAAACTCTGACGGTCTCCACGATCGGGAATTCCCAGGGGTCGCCAGTGGCATTCAAAATTGTACGCCCGCGACCACGCTGCCGCCGCGCCGAGGCTGCACGAAGCGACCCCCACTCCGACGACGACGACGACGACGACGACGACGACGACGACGACGCCCGACGACAACCCAAATCCCCTACAATGCTGTCCCTGCACCCTTGCTGGGGTCCGTCCTGTCCAGTTTTCCGAGCCGCTTCCAGCTCCAGCTGCGGAAGCGAGAACCTCCAAAAGCGCTCGAAACCTCCGAGACGAAGACGTCGACGTCGACGCCCTCGTGGTCGGAGCCGTAGGGGAACAACCGGCTTCCCCAACCGCCAAGGGTGCCCTCCCGGCTGGGCCGGGAGGGCTGCAATGTCCTCGCCCTCCTCCTTCGCGGCCCCGTCTGCCGCGGAGCCGCTGGGCCCGTCGCACATAGCGGCAGCACCCTTGCGAGTCAAGAGAGGCGCAGGAGAGGGCCAACAGAAGAGGAATGGAATGGAATGGAATGGAATGGAATGGAATGGAATGGAATGGAATGGGATGAAATATAGTGGAATGGAATGGAATGGAATGGAATGGAATGGCAGGTGGTGGTAAGCGCGTCTGGAAGACATCGGGCGCGCCAGGGGGCACGCGCGCGCGTACGAGGGCCTGCCTCTCTCAGACGAGCACTCACAAGCGCTCCCAAAATCCGCCGACCCCCTTCACGATGGTAACCGTCGGAAAAACACCACCCGCGCCAGAGGGGGGCCATAGTACCATAGTACCCAAGATGTGTCCAGAATCCAGGGTGCTGCCGTACACCCTCCCGTCCGAAGTCCCCTCCGCACAAGTAAACGCTCCTGCTCACCACAGGTAGCGCCCCTGCCTGCCATTCAGGCCAGAGGCATGTTTTGGAAAGGAACCGCCCTCCACTTGTGCACCTGTTGCACATCTTCAACTTCTGGTCACCAAAAAAAGAACTAACCTCAGACGAGAGCCCTATCTTGGCAAGGAGCTGGCCTTATTGCTTTATAGTTGACACTTCCATCCAAATTGAAAACAACTGAAGGCGTGTAAAGCGGGAGCCACATTGACAACCACCCTCCCACCATCCTTGCAACTGCGAGACACTATTAAGGCGAATGTGAGCGGCGCGAAAGCAATGACTCATGTACAACGCTGGTTCATGCCATCCAGGATCTTTTGTCCCAGGACCCTCGAAGCTGCTACGCACGCCTTGCCATCAGCAATGGTACGCAGCATGTTGCCAGTCTCTCGAAGAACTGGGCCGACGGACGTCAATCGTCCGCTGCTCCAGGCGTGCGATTGGAAGTGTAGTCACTGGGTGGCTGCTCTCCTGTCGCGCACTGCGCCCGGCCGCGCTCGGCACCTTTCTCGCGCATCAGGCGCCAATCCCACGAACGCCGCTTGATGGAGTCGGTGGCTCGAAATGACACCCCAGCGCCCGATGGCGACGCCCGCGGGCATCTGCCGCTCGACCGTGGGCCTTCCCCCGAGATCCCACCCCCAGTGGCGACACCATGTCGGCAAGCCTGCCTCACCCCCGTCTTCGTCAGGGATGAAGGGATTTCGTTTTCAGTGCTGTGAGAATTGAGAGGAAGACGCGAACGAAACCCAGTCGCGAAGAAAGGCCAGCGGGTGACTGCGAGGCGAGACGAGGGCGATCTGCACGCACGCTGGCCGCGCGCGGCTGCCGCGGGCGGGCGGCGCCTGAGGCCGACAATGCCCGCGCGGCGGCGCGCGGGCGCAGCTCGAGCCTGGCAAGATCTGCACGGCGCGCGGCGCGCGAGGCGCGCGAACCCTGTGGGGGGTCCGGCGCGCGGGCTCCGAAGCTTCCCGCGCTCGCCTGCTCAGTCGGAGGGACCGGGTCCTCTGCCGCCCGCTGCCTCAGGGCTTCTCTCTCTGAGCCCGCTGGGCGTCGCGAGCAGCTTCAGCCGCCCGTGGGCACAGAATCCAGCCCATTCGGCAGCCGAGCTGCCCGAAGTCCCAGAATTGAACCCACGCGGCCGCCAACGTGGCGGCCAAATGGACTCGGACGCCGAACGGGCTCAGACGCAGCCACCGAGCGGCCCTGTCAATCTGCCCAATCATTCCCCTCGCTGTCGTCGGCGACCTCCTCCTGCAGCTGCTCTTGCTGCTCCTCCTCCTGCTTCTTCTTCTGCTGATCATCCTCCTCTTCGTTCGCCTCTCCTCATCCTTCGAATCCGCCGATCCGGCGTGTGAGTTTCAAGGAGTCTCAGCTACAGCCTCGAGGCTGAGCCTCAGCCTCTGGGGGGGTTGCCGGGGTGGCTCTGCCGGGGAAGGGGGGGTGGGGGGGGGGGTGCGAGTTTCCGGCGGATGCGTTTTTTGACACCCCTCACAAGGATCGTGGCCTCCGAGGGGGTTCCGAACTCGAGTACCACCCCTCCCGCACCAAGAGGCTCCGAGGAGGCCTCCAAGAGGCCCCAAGGGGCGCAGAAGAGGCCCCCAAGAAGCCCCAAGAGGCTCCCAAGAGACCCCCAAGAGGCCCTCTAGTGGCCCCAAGAGGCCCAAGAGGCCCCCAAGAAGCCCCAAGAGGCGCCCAAGAGGCCCCCAGAAGTCCCAGCCAACCACGAGATCCCAACCAGCATCCATGAGGCCTCTGACCCACCACCCACGCACGGTGGCGGGATAGGCCGACGGCCACTGGATCCGCCGCCCCCTGCTTGCAGGGGTGCACGGCGTGCTGGATGATTCAGTTTTGGTTTTGGTTCTTTTTCTAAAAGAACTCCCCAGTGGGCTTCGGCCCGTCCCGCCGGCCACCCGTAAATTTCCCAAAATGCGTCTGTCAATGCCTTTGTTGCCCCAAACTGGCCAAGATGGGCCCAAGATGGCCTGGCCAAGATGCCTCCCAGACGGCCAAGATGGCCTCCAAGACGGGTAAGATGGCTCCAAGATGCCTCCAAGACGGCCCAAGATGCCCTCCAAGACGGCCAAGATGGCCCCAAGATGCCTCCAAGATGGCCCAAGAGGCCTCCAAGACGTTCTCCAGGAGAGCCCGAAGAGGCCAAAATCATTGGTTTTCCTTAGGTTTTTGAAGGTTTTTGCGTTTTCTTCTTTTCGGCCTTCCGACGGCCCAAGAGGCCCCCAAGATCGCCCAAGAGGCCTCCAAGAAGGCCCTATGACGGCCCAAGGGCCCCCCAAGACGGCCCCAAGAGCGCCCCAAGACGGCCCAAGAGGCCTCCAAGACGCCCAACATGGCCTCCAAGACGGCCCTGAAGCGCCCCAAGAGGGCCCCAAGACGGCCCAGAGAGGCCCCCAAGACGGCTCCAGACGGCGTCAGACGGACCAGGAACGCCCTAAGACGGCCAAAGAGACCCCCAGGAAGCCCCCAAAGGCCCCCAAGAGGCCCAAGGAGGCCCCCAAGATGCCTCCAAGAGGCCTCGAAGAGGCCCCCAAGAAGCCCCCAACAGACCCCAAGGGTGCCCCAAGAGACTCCTAACAACCCTCATCCTCCTACTCTATTTCTTCCTCTTCCTCTTCCTGTTCATAATCATTCTCTCCCATGTGTTCCCCGAAAGCTTTCCAAACCGACTCGGGGAACTCATGGTCCGATAGCTTGGCCAAGCTCTAGTCCAACTTTCGGCCACATCGGCGTTTCCAAAAAGGCAGGGGGCGGCGGTGATTCGCCGTAGGCGTCTTCGATAAATGCTGAGTGAGAGGAGGGGAGGGAAAAAGAGAGGAGGGACGAGGGCGAAGAAGGATCACATCAGTCGGAGCGCCCCGGATCGGCGGCACTGGCCGAAGGCCACTACAATATAAAAGCTCCCCCACCGCCCGGCTTCATAGTATACTCTTGCCACCCTCCTGATCTTGCTACTGTTCCTGTCACTGCCCCCCCGATCTTGCGTTACCTCCTCCAGCTCCTGCCGTTCCTGCTGCTGCTCTCCTTCCTATATGAAGATTGCCTGCCCGTCGCCGTATGCTGTGGTCTTCTGATGTGTCTCGCTGCCTGTCCTTCGCAGATGTCGCTCGCCGTCGCCAGTCGAGACGTTTCTACTGCTCATCATCTTGTGCCAGAATGCAATTATCGATGTACTTCGGCATGCAATTCCTGTAAATGCGTACGGCACATACTGTTCACTCGAAAGGGTAACTACGTGACTACTTAATGCTTCAACTGTATCGGGCGTCCCGCACTGAGTCCCAGCGCGAGTTCAACAGCTCTCTTCGGCAGTCGAGCGCCGGCTACACCTCCTATCGCTTCTCGGGAGTAGGCAGGACTGGGTGTAGTGGGGCCTGGTTTAGTGATGTGTACCAGGGAATGCCCTCCCGTCCCACTCCACTAAACGGAAGTGCCGCCACCCGAAGGAACTTCAACTACTACAGACCTGGTGTAATAATTCTGGCATGTGTTTTGGATTTCGGGGCCCAAGCACCGGCCGGCTCCCCTTACAAAGGGGTCCTGGCCGCATCTGGTCTTAAGCTAGGACGTTGCCCGAACCCTATCCACTGGCTCTCGTTATCTGCTGTTGGGTCCCCCATGATGCGCAATTTGACGAGAAAGAGTCGGGGCACACAGTGGATGGAATATGGGCCGTCCTGGATACCAGCAGACGGCGAAGAACTGTCAATACACAGCTTGGTGGCGGCTCCATGGTAAGAAGCAGGGTGGCCTTCGGCAGTGTCTTGACATGCTTCTTCCTGAAGCAATCCACGCAATACTTGCCGCGAGTGTACGTGCACTGCAGCTTGGCAGGATTGACCTTGCAGATGGCGCACAGGATGAAGTGGTTTGGCCTTGAGCGCTGGCAAACCCAGCCTGCGCTCGACATCTGGCATGTGTCCGACGTCTCGCTCTACCCATCGGACCAGCGGAAGAAAAACAAGAGGAACATGAGGGTACAGAGGGATCAGAGGAGGAAGAGGAGGGTAAAGAGGGAGGAAGAGGAGGGCACAGAAGAAGGAGCAGGAGGAAGTTGCGAGGGGGAGGAAGAACAATTGGTTGCGAGGGGGGGGGCTGCAAGAAAGCGAGGGCTGCAGGCAGATGGGTGAGGAGCAGGGCCGATGGAGATCAAAGAGGAGGGTGGAGGGAGCAGGGTGGAGGGAAGATGAGAGGGAGGAGGCGGAGGCCGAGCAGGTGGAGGAGGAGGACGGGAGGACGAGGCGGCGGAGGGGACATGCCAGCAAGGAGGGAAGCCGGAGGCGGATGAGGCGGTGGATCTGATCGGTCGAATGCTACCTTCAAGTTTCAATCCGATCGGAAGTCAACTGCTCCTGATCCGCAGGTTGGCCAGGCCGGCTAAGGCGTTGGCTCGTGCTTCGCTCTGTTTCCCTGCGACGGTTGCGTGTGAGATGGGGAGAGACATAGTCAATCAGTTCATTTGAGCAAGAGAGAGAGAGAGAGAGAGAGAGAGAGAAAAAAAAAAAAGAGCGAGAGAGGGCGTCGGTAGCGACTCCAATCCACACATTA